GTACCATTGCGATGGAGCCGCCTCCAGCAGGCAGCACGGGTCCTGCTGCCCTCTCCCCACCAGTTTTCCACCCCAGCCTCTGTTGAGCAGCGCTGGAGCGAAATGCTGAAATCCTCACATGCTTCAGTACATGAGGAGATTAAAACAGTTCTGAAAATATCACATTCTACTGCTGCTATCTAGGGAACAAAATTTAAAACAGGCACTCATTTTTTTTTTTTGGCACCAGCAAGGGTGTTTTCCTCCCTATTATTGTTATATATTTAATTGGAAGGTGCAGATCTGAGGATCCTCTGAGTGACAGACACTGAACAAGCACAACCTTGTGTTAACGTGATTCAAAGCTGTCAACTGATGCAACCTTGGAAAACTACCATTGTCACAAAAGCAAACGTACAGAGGAAGCTGCCCTATTCATCAGACTTGTTTTCTGCATGCTGTCCAAACAAGCTGTGTAATTCTGTGATAAATGTGGAAATGTCAAACTTCTTGTGCCTCAATTTTCCATCTGAGAAAGAGGGCTGATTCCCACTGCCCACTGTTTTCTGGGACGTGTCAGAGAAGTTGGTGATGTCGGAGATGATGACGTTCAACCACAACAAAGAACACAAGTTCCATCCTCTCTACTTCCAGCATATTGTATTAGTATATAAACATCTCTAGTTTTCCTTTCTTTTGGTATATTTGTATAAGGAGAAGAAAAACAACTCAAGAAAACAATAATTTCTCCCCTAGTGGATCTGAACCCTTTCACTGTAACATACAGCTCAAAAACCACACTGCAAAAGGTCACCCCAACCACACAACACTGATTCCCACTGCAGAAACCAGCCTGTGCCACTGCTCAAAACTGAGTAAATCTCAACATTTCAGTGCCATTATCACACCATCCTTATACCACAAAGCTATACTGAATGCCTGTCCCTTAGTGTCACAGCTCAATGCCAACATCACCAGAGCTGCCGTGCCTGAATCTTTGCATTTTGGTGTAGAGAAAGCTGTTGCTGGGACGTAAGGGAAAAATTGATACTGCCATTAAAGAAGCATTAATTGACATTTTTGTCAAATAATAAGAATCTCCGACTGTCAGCAGGCACTGAAATGCTGTAGTACACTGCTGGCCCCATGCCTGCAGACAACACAGTCAGGGGTCAGTGTTTTTTGGCTAAGTTACAGCACAGACAGCATTCTGAGAGGTCCTACTTCTCTAGTTATATTTGTTTAGCTTTGTTTCCTCTATCCGTACTTGTAGCCATTGACTGTATATAAGCAAGTCAATTCATTAACAGATTTTGTCAGCTATTTTCTTTGGCAGTGGAAATGGGTTGTTTTCCTGCAAAATTAATGAAGCTAGAATGTCACTTGCACGCCAGTCAGTGCTCTTATTCAGAAAGGTCAGGCAGGAAGAAAAGAGAATCTCTTTTTTTTTTCTTTTTTTTTCTCAATCAAAAGAGAATGCAACCATTTCTGAACACAACAGCCTGACTGGAGACAGCTCAGCTTAGTACTGTGAACAAAGATACCTTGGGTTCCATCTGGGGGTTCCCTGGGCTCTGACAGCACCAGCCCAGCCCTCGCCCCACTGCTGCCTCCCACCAGGAGGAACCAGGATGCACTGAAGGATGCACTGCTGCTGACATCCCTGGAGCCAACCCATCCCACCTCCATGCTGCCTCTCACGCGCCGTCTGCGTATCTCAGCTTTTCCTCCTTGCCCTTCAGGCAAGTCTACGTGGCTCTGGAAGAGCTCGCTAACATCTGTTCGAAGTTATATTCCTTTGACATCCATAACTATGACCTTTGTCAGCGAATCATTAAAGCGTGAAATTAATTTTGAAAATCAGTAATTCCGCTGACTTTACCTGGATTACTCATATGGTTAAAGTTAAAAGCACACTTAAGTGCTTTGCTGCAAGCAGACCCACTTCTGACAGTGCAAAACATTTCCAGTCGCAGAAGAGCAGCCAGTAGTCGCGTGCTGTTCTCCTCTCCAATTCAGATTTAATCTTATGGGGGCTTCATTTCACTTACACGCTATTAGGACAACTTTCTTCTAAGGCCCATATGCTGCCACCAACCTGAAAGGAATTGCTCTGACCAGACATTCCCCTGCCCTGCATCACAGAAGCGCGTCGGTATCACGGCAGCTTTGCACACCAAACAGCCAGCTGCTGCTAGGGCTGGTTTGCTTTGCAGCTGATAGATGACTTGCTGATTCTGGAAATCTCTCCATAAGACAAGTGTTTCTAAAACAGTTAAGGTACTACAGAGCTCAAGGTTCTCAAGAGTGCAATCATATTTTGCAAATAAATCATGGTAAGAAATGTGCTTGCAACGTAAGCTCGCTGGTCGGTTTTCTACGATTGACAAGCTTAATTCAAAGCAAATAATTTAGGTTTTGCAATTACAAATGTGCAGTGCCTGAACATTAATCACTGGATTATTTAATGAATAAATGCAAAAGTAAACTTAACAGCTGGAAAACATTGAGAGGATTTCAAACCTTAAGCTGTGAAGTTAGGCACTAGCAAACCTCCCAGAACGAGTATGTTGCCCTACAACTATGAACACATCTTGCTGAGCCTAAAAATCAGAAAAACACCAAATTGACATTAAAGATTTCCATAGATAACAGATGGCTTAACACATCAGTCTTCACTTGGGGTTGCCTAATACATCTGAATCATGTTTTGAAATATAACTGAAGGTTTGGAAAATCTCTAAGGTTTTCAATAAATGGATTTTAATGTCAAAGCAGCTGTTTCTACTAAGTATTTAAAATCATATCCAGTTTTTTGTTGTTCCTGGGTTTTTTGTTTTTTGTTTTTTGTTTTTTTTTGCATGATCCAATGCAGAAATAATGTAATTTAGGGGTCTCATCCACCTCCACCCCTACCACCCTCCAAGGAATAACATGCTTTACATGAACCTACAGTAAAACAACAGCACACGTCTCAGAGCTTCATATGCATTGTCACTAACTACTCAAGAAAATACGCTTGCGTTTAGCACACTACTTGCACTTAAAGCAGTGGCTGCTCCAGTGCTCATCATCATGGCTTTCAAGATATTTGAGCTGCATGGCTCGTGCCGATGTCAGGAAGATGGAGCAGGCTGCAGCACAGCAGCTCCTGCCTTGCTTTGCAGTGCTCGGCCCATTATTTGTCTTGAAAACAAGGATCAGTAATGCTAACTGAAGAAGAGGGAATAATGATTCTGCAAAGCCATGACCAGCTTCTGTGGTTTGGGATCTGTAAGCTGTCTTGTATGCTACAGACCCCAAACACAGGCAAGGCTAACCTCAGTGTCTTACAACAGCATGTTGAACCTCGTGTTGGCATCACCATACAGAGCTCTTCTAGAACACAAGCCTTCTGGGGGGCATCCCATCACAGAGATAGGTAAACTAGAAAATAACCATTCAGAAATATTGTATTTCTTAAGAAGTAGAGCTCAGAAATCTCCAAATCCGATTAGTCTAACAGATGTTCATAAGAGCTAATTTACAGTCCTGTCATCCTCTACTTTTAAAAGAGATGGAAACTGCATGTTACAGTTTTCTAAATCTGATTTATTATTGGTACAAGAGAATTTGGTGTGTTCAGCAAGGCCCATATTAGCAATTTTATGTTCTTTTAATCGCTGACATGGAATGCAAATAGTTTCCTCAATTGCTGCATACTTCACATTCCTAAAGGAAGGCACACCCTTTGACAAAGATTAAGAGAATATAAAGTTAAACCCCTGTTTACTAAATGAATTAAATCCTCTTTTAGTTGCTGAAGCAGAGCAATTTATGCATTGGGAATCTACGTTCCCTTCAAGGATAGGAAATGAACAATAAAGAAATATTGAAAATAACGTTAAGAAAGCTCATAGTTTGGTCCTAATGTTGAATCATAAAGTGAACTTCATTCTATCCCTGCTGGGTAATGTAAGAGTTTCTCCAAATGTCTGGAAATAAAAAGCATTCTGCATTGTGTCACTACTCTGGAGAGGTGCCCCATCATTTTGCAGTGAGGACAGCAGTCACCAGCCCAAGGCAGTGCACCTACATTTGCTTTCACATGCACATTTCCACCTCCATGACACCTAAAGCTGCACCTCCTACATCTTTGGTCTTTCTACTACAGTAAGAAAACACCTCTGCTGCTTTAACACCACCAGAAGGGAAGCCTTCTGAACACAATGATCCTTGCTAACATTTTGGGATAAATTTTCCCTATGTCATGAATAATCTTTGATATTTCATTGATGAGTTGCATGTAGCTGTCCTGATCTGGATTCCCACAGCGTACTCTTGAGGGATTGAGACTAAGAGTTCAGTGACTTTGGTTCTGCTTGTCATGTATTTCTAAAGAGAAGTGGCTTCATTTCTGTACCACTGGACCCTCTCTGCACTGCAGCATCCCCCAGAATCTACCTCTGAAAGCTTCAAGACACGAGCAGGAGCTGTTATGGAAGAAGATGCACTATTTACAGCCCACCAAGAAATGTTCAGGCTCAGCTGTGATTATGAGCCTCGTGAGCAGTGCAACCAGCCCACCACAGCATGTTGCCAACAAATCCACTGAGCTCCCACCAGTAGAGGTTAAGCCTCATCATGGTTGTTGCACGGAGGTGACCATGGTCACATGAAGCACCAGGAGGGATGAGTTCTCCAAAACATTCCAAAGGTTGTAGGATTATCCACATTAATGTGAATAAAATGCCCTACTACTGCAGGAAAGGGGGGAAAATCCAAACAAAATAAGAACGATGATCAAAAAGAAAATGCAGAGAGGCAGCATTTTTGTTTTCAGCCCCACTTAAATGCAATCACACGTACCAGCTCATGCTTTCTAAGCAGAATGCAAATGCACACAACCCAAACTGCAAAACATTCAGTTTAGGGACAAGGAGCAAACTTGGCTGGGGGTTGGTTTTAAAACATCAGTGCAAGCATTACAATCCCTCTCTAGAAATGCCAGTGCAAAATGATCATGCACCAGAGGTACTCACTCGTTCCTCTCCAGGTGGATGACCAGTCGTTGCCCTTCAGCTTGTACCACCAACTGCAGCAGGGACGGGTGGTTCTGCAAGAAGAAAACAGAGCTGGCTGAGCCCAAACCCAGATCCCATCTCCATTTTCACAAGCTATCTGATACAGCTGGGAATTCTCTCTTTTTTTCCTCTCCATACAACAGCATACCGAGATTAAACACTGATATAAGCTCCTAGTAATGCTCAATCTTCCTGTAACCCTTTGTAAAGTAAGGCAGAGGTAATCAGATTTGCATTTCACCTGCCCATCTCTGGTTTAAGTGACCAGGCTGGGAGCTGGTGGCTCTCACACCTCCTCAGTATGTCACATACTTGTGTGCAGGGCCCCACAAGCCACACAGATCTGAGACCCTCCTGGAAACCGAACAACAAGCACAGTCGTATTGAACTACTTGCTCCATGTGAACACCTACGCATTTTAATATGTGTTGCATAACTTTTCAGATGGAATAATTCATATTTTGTAAAAACTAAAAGAATTGGTGCTGGAGCAATCAGAAGTATGGCTAAAAATATTATCCAGGATCACTGTGAGGACAACACACGAGGTACCTGCATGTACACGATATGCAAGGGAATGATCTAAAAATGATCTAAACAAGCCATCAGCAGCAGAGCACACGCAAATCCCAGTTCATGCCTTGTGAGGCAGGGTCAGGACATCTGGATTGCATTTCCAGCCCCAGCACGAACCATGTGCAGTCTTCATATCACTGCACTCTGACCGACAAACAAGTTGTTTTTCATCTCCGGTGTCTGAAGGTGGATTCACTTCTTTTGGGGCAGAGGGGCCAACCCTCCATGCACTCACACGGGCCCTTCATGCACCAAACAAGAAGGCACAGTTTACCGTATGTGTTACCCTTAATCCAAAAGTCTACACTCCCATACATGTTAAGACTGTTTACACTTAACTTACATTTCATTAAACAAACTTACTAGCTTGCGAGACAGCATTTCCTTGTTTTGAAATTCTACAGTAGCTCAATAAATCAGTTGTTCCTCTGCAAGCTCAGTACACTTTTCTGAATATTTACGCCAGCCAGTTGCAGAACCGAGGCTGTCTAATCTGCAGGGGGATTGTGTTTAGTTGATTTATTGAGAAATAGGTTGGAATCTGCGATTGCTGCAGCGGTGCTGTGATGGAGCCCTGGCTGTGCAGCTGCTTGAGCACTCTCCCATGCAGTGCCAGGGTTTGAAAGTGGTTTGAAAAACTGTAAATGTTTATTAAAAAGTGAAATTATGAGGGGACTATCACAGACTAAACAAAATGGTAAATTTTTTTACAAGAAAAAATAGCTGACAACTCCCTGGTGCTCTCAAGTGTTATTAGTCATTGGATCACAGAATCATTAAGGTTGGAGGAGACCTCTGAGACCTCCAAGCCCAACCTACCCCCACCATGCCCCTCAGTGCCACATCTCCATGGCCCTAGAACACCTCCAGGGACAGTGACCCCACCATTCCCTGGGCAGCTGTGCCAATGCCTGACCACTCCTAAGCACAGATTGTGACTGAAACACCATCTCTCACACAAAACAGAAACAATATTGAAATCCTGCATCTCCGTAAACTCTGCAGCAATGAGATCCCACTAGAATGCTAAATAAAAGCTTCAGATGATGCTTGGCATGCAGCGAACACATGGGAGTCATTTATTGGCATGAATATTTAGAGGCGATGTCGATTAACACTTTAATATTAGTGCATTTGGTTCCAAACCCCGTAAGATATACACACTATTGAGTTTTGAGAGAGTAGGATACAATTAATTACAACATAACACAGTAAATAATAAAGATACTGCAGGAGCACAAATGGGTTCCTTTCAGTTGAAGGCCCTCTGTTAGCGTGTAAATGATAACCATGTTTATTCTCAGTGGCACTCACTGGACAGTCGATTGATGTTACCAAGTTGTAAAGTTAGAAAGGAGTTGCAGAATAAGGCAGCCTGCTACAGGATGAAAACTATCTCCTGGAGAATTCCTGAAGCTGACACTTCAGCACAATGCCCCTAGTTGGGATGCTGGACTGCTTTGCGTAAGACCTAGGTTTGGATCCCTTTTTTCTCATAGAAATAATGTTCAAGCAAGTGGCTCATTTTCTCTTTTGCCACCTGGGAAGAGATGAAACTGTATGTTTTCCAATTCTGTCTGCTAGTCATAAGCATAAATGCAGCAAAAAATACAGATGGCTCTGGTGGCATGGCATTTGGAAACACAAAAATGGTGTTAAAATGATACATTTCTAACGTGAAAGAAAAATGATCATCCAAGAAAGGGTATTTCTTGCCTTGCTAAGGTATACCTTTGTGAAATGAAATGAATATCTTTGTTTTACCTTTTTCTTTTCAGCATTGGTGAATTACTTGCCCACTTTTGCTGCTAGACCTTAAAAACTCATTTCCAGTTCACATGAGGCATCGTAGTGCTCCCTCCTTATAATCAGTATTTTCAAAACCAAGTTGCAAGATGAAATGGGAATTACTGTAAACACTGATATTCGAAAGCTATTTTATATCTTCAGTTTAGAATAATGAATAAAAGCATATTGTAAGCACACACTCTTCTGCTTGGAACCTTTTATCAAGAACCACTTGTTATGACTTCCTTGAGAATCACAGAAAACAACTTCTGTGTCGATACCGAAACATATCCTACATCTGATTGCTTTGAAATTATCAAGTGGGGAAAAAGTGAATTAAAATTAACCTTATCAGACACCCTAACAGTTAACACCGTAAAAAATATCATATTGACATGATAACAGATAATCAGAAATGTTTCGACCTTTATTTCCCTACTGATTTGTGTTTTCTAGTTCTTTCCACTTTACCTACAACATGCTCCTGTCCCGCTGGCGATACGTATTTGGTGGCATATTTCATCAATGCACACAAACTTTTCCTTGATATCCTAAGAGGCAGAACAGACTCCAGGATGACCAAAGTAATACTTTTGGTCATTTTCCCTTCTCATTTAGAGCATTTACTTCCACAGTCCTCACCAAATTTTATCAGTGGAGAAATAAAGGTACTTCCCCTATTAATGTGCTCCTTACTAAGGGGTGTTGATTTGAATTGCCATTGAGTGATGTTTACTCAATGTGCTGAAATAAATTAATGATGCAATGTGATGCACTTTTAGCTAACGCCAAGCAAGAGATCTCTCTGATAAAGCACACGATAAATGCTTTCTTGGACAACTTGGAGCACCGTGAGGCCACAGCCTGTTTTGAATCAGAGCTGTTTGCTTGTTGTCTCACAACAGAACACGAATCAATACACATAAGTGAAGGTAGTTTAATTAACACATGCTTTTAAGTACTTTTAAGTGCTCCCACCCCTCTTCAATTCAAATCCATCTCTAGATCTTCAATTAGAAAAAGAAGAGAAGGGATGATCTGGGGACACCTGGTGATGGTGTCCCAACCCAGCTCTACCAGAATGCCCTGTTGGGGCACCCACACTCCAGCCAACTTCCAGCTGAGTGGAGTTGCTGCACCCTGGATTATTTTGCACTTTGCTTACCCTTTCTGCCACTTTCTTCCAACATGCCTCTGCAAAATGGACAGATTTTCACCCTCTTGTCTTTCTCTGCTCGCTATGTAAACTGTTGTAGAGCTGGGAGTTGGACTCGGTGATCCTTATGGGTCTCTTCTAATTCAGGATATTCTCTGATTCTATGTTTTAAAGGTATGCTGCCTAAACACACTGGTGAGCAGATAAGCACCTTCCCTCTGGTGAAGGCATCAAAGCGTTACAGGAACAGTAGCTCAGAAATAGCAATAAAGTTTTTTCCTTGGCTGCTCAGGTTTTATCACATCAGTATGAATATCAACCCAGAATCTCAGCAGCAGGTCTTGAACTGTTAATGCTTTCATGGATTACTTTCTAATAATGTTGATATAATAACCACCAAAAAATTTTTCAATTTTTATGCCTGAAAGAACTAGTAGCAATGGACTTGGGGTAGATTTGTTCACCTTGGTGGGATGCCCATTCTGGAATTTCAATTCAAAGTAGTTGTCACTGAGCATATTTTCCTGCACATTAATCTAGGAAAAAGTCTTAATCACTACTGGATCATCTCTTCCTTCGGGCTGTGGATTTGGCACGCACTGCAATCATGCTGCAGTGCTGTTAGCTTTTCCCTTGATACTGACTGTTGAGATGGAGATAGAATATTTTGAGTCATTTCTCATTACATCTGCAGAGAGAGAAAACTGATGAAGTGGACAACTGTAGTGCATGTGATTTTACACCTTCCTCTCTGTAATGGGTTTTCATTGGATTAAGATACATGAGTTCACTAGTACATACAGCATTGAAGAAAAAAATATTCTAGGAGCCACATGATAGAAATAAAGGGAAATACCTAAAGACAAGACAAAGTGTGTAAATGAACTCAAAGTAGAAGCTTTGATTCATTTGGAAAGACAAATGCATTTTCAGCTGTCTCAGATATCCAAATCCAGTATTTGACAATAGGGATCAGCATAAGAAATAGAACTAAAAGGGATTATTTTGTTTCTCTGATTTCAAATAAAGTTTTAAATAATGTCCTTACATGGTAGATTGAAACAGGCAGATTTGTTTAATCCAGAAAAGTAGTTTCCACTCCCTTCAGAACTGCTGCTAACTATGCTAAAACCAACCTCACAACGGGGACAACTTTGCATGTGCCATTAAATTGACCTACATCCATGGCCCGACCCACATCGTGCATCAGGCGACAGTTTGCATGAACTGTCCCAGCTCCTCACTGGTGGGACATTCCTAGACTGAAATGGGCAAGATTGGAAGGAAATGCCTTCTAACTTTTCACAGAATCACAGGATCGCAGGAGTCGGAAGGGACCTCAAGAGACCATTGAATCCAACCCCCCTGCCAAAGCAGTTCCCTATGACAGGTCATGCAGGTAGGCTGCAGAATATTTCCTCTGAAGGAGACTCCACAGTCTCTCTGAGCAACCTTTTCCAGTGCTCCATCACCCTTACCATAAAGAAGTACTTCTGCATGTTAGTACAGAAC